TTATTATTAAAAAATGATTTACCAACTTTGAGATTGAAAATAGTTGATTTAATTGTGTTTTAAAATGATACAAATTTAGAAGTGAAAAAAAAATTCCATTTTTAATCAGAGCATGTATGAAAAAAATAATAAAAGAAAAACACAAATGATAAAGAAAGAAAAGAAAATGTTCTTGATTATATTCAACGTTTGAGAATTCTGAATCATCAATAAAAGAAGATGGCGGAGTAAAAAAAAGCCCTGAAGTATACCTCAAGAGAGCAGGTGAAATTTCATGTTTATACGCCTTCCTTGATTGCTGGCACGATGCGGGTGGTTATTCATTAAAATAACATAATAATACAAAAAGATAAATATTGTAATTTCTTGTTGTTATTATTAGAATTTTTAAGAGGCTTAAATACGCGCGTTTGGTATTCGAAAAATTGAAATATAAAAGGAAGGAACTCCTTTGTAACAATAACAATACCAATTGTTTTGTTATTTTTATTATATGAGAAGGTTTTATAATCACTACTTCGAAAAACAGATATGGTAATGATATTAGGCAGTTATCCCTATATGCAAACGTTACCTTTTTATTTCTTTGTTGTGGATATTATGTACCAAGTTTCCTTTTGTGCTGCTTGGAAAATGCAAATTTGTTAAAACTCTGCCTTTTAGTGGTAAATGCAGATAAGTCTCAAAGCTCAGAGCAGTGCTGTAAAAAAATTACACGAAAAAAATGATATCTGAAAAAGTAATATGAAAAAATAATGAGAAAGAATTAATATAATTTTTTCTTATTTTTAAGGGCTTTCATTATTTTTTGCGATGGTATTCATTTTGAGTTGTTGAATAAGGCGAATTTTTTTTTATAATTTTCTTAAAAATTAATAAATTCAGTACATTTGCAGTCGGTATAGCTAAACTGAACAAAATTAAACTGTCTATCGATTTGAAATGTATGAAGATCTTTTTTGGGGTGAATGCTATTGTATTCTTAAATAAAAGCCATATGTCCTTTGAAATATTAAATTCATTTTATTATGTTGTTTATTTTAATTTTACGGGTTCATGTTTTATTCATATTTTATTTAAATTGATATCCTATTACTTTTTTTCTTTAATTATTTCCATTGTGAACAAAGCTTTTAATACACCTTATTTACTCAAACTTTTTATAACGCATAAAATTAAAATCCCTGTATATTTTTGTACAATTACTTTCAAGATTTTCTTCATCATAAAAGAAAAGTTTTTTTTAAAAAAAACAGACGACTTCTTTATTCAATTTTCCATTGTCTCGCCTCAAATATTTTAAGAATTTGGTATGAAAGAAAACTTCAATAAAAACGTTTTCTTTATTCTCTGCTGAGTTGTAGATTCCGGGTCTAAATATTTTTTTTTGAAAATATAAAGCGATCTGCAACCCCTCTCACACTCCATGCAATTTGTCACTATCATCAGGTGGCAAAATATTCTGTGAAAGTTTTTTTTTTCTTTTTCCAGAATTTACCCTACTAGTAATACTGAATTCAAGTGTTTCTTACTAAGAATATTTTTATGTTATATTTAATAAAGCGATTTTGCCAGGTGGGTTAATTGTAAAAAAGTGGAAATAGCTGTAAACAAGCATCATCTGTGCCCACTTGGAGTTAAGAGAACTGAAAAGTCTATAAGAACTAAACCTTGGTAACATTGAGAAGACACTATTAGTAATATCGCGCTTTTTAATGCAACAGCTGTCGATGATCTAATTTCTTGAAAAACAAACTTGTATAAACTTTGGGTTAAAGTTGTTTTTGCTCATTTATTTCTATACTACTCTGCCCAAAAAGTAAGACCAATTTTTTTTGCAACAAACTCTTTATTTATTTTTCCAAATTTATTTCATCGTCTTCAAAGTAATCCCCTCCGGACACAATGCACTTATGCCAACTTTTTTTCCAATCGTGAATGCATGCTAAAAAGTCATCGCCAGGGATTGCTTTCAAAGCGCGTGGCGATTCATGTTGAATCTCTTCAATCGACTCAAAACGGTGACACCGGAGTAGTCTTTATAGTTTAGGGAATAGCCAGAAGTCGCACGGTGTCAATACGGCGGTTGTGGAACGATATGGGTTTCATTATTGGCGAAAAAGTCACTAAGACTCAATGCAGTGTGAACTGGCGCATTCAGTGTTTTCGGTACCAATCGAGATTTTACGCGTTTGAGGTCCAAAATGGAATTGACCGATCCTTTTGAAATTCCAACATCATCAGCAAGGCCTCTAATTGTAAATTGACGGTTTGCAAGCATCAAATCTTTAATTTTTTGGACACGAGCTTCATCGGTTGAGGTGGATGGTCGACCAGAGGACCTACAATGCTTTCTATGCCTTCTTTTAACCTGTTTATACCACTTGTAAATATTGCTTTCCAATATAGTTTGCTCACCGAATGCCTTCTGCAAAATTCCATACGTTTCCGCAAATAAAATGTAATGCAAGTTCTTTGCTCAATTAATTCAGACATTTCAAAAATCGCCGGAATCACTTTTAGCGTCTCACAAAGCCAAGCTTAATTCAAACACTAATGAATATTTTGACGTCCAATTTCACACATACAGTGGGCCACAAAATTGAGTATACACCTTAGAAACTTAGAGACTTTTTGCAATTACAAATTAAATATTGCTTTAAGATGATTGAATTTTTTACCTTATATACTTTAGTCTATGCTTTACCGTACTATACTTATAAAATTGTTACGTTTATTTATTTTTTACGAAAAAAAATAAAAGATCTGAGACGAGAGGAAAAACAACACCACAAAAATAAGTATACACCTTTATTGATTTCCTTTTAACGTACAAATTAATATTTTTTTGCATAACCTTTTGCTTGAATTACAGCTTGTAATCTTCTGGACATAGATTCTACTAGTGGTTTAGTGGTTTCAACAGAAATTTTAGCCCATTCTTCACTCAGAACCTTCTTGAGAACTTCCTTGCTTGGGATTTCGTGCTCATGTACAGCTTTCTATAATTGCGACCACAAATTTTCAATGACGTTTAGGTCTGGAGTGTGTAATTGCTTCTTGCAATGGTACAGCAAGTATAACTGCACAATCTTCGCTGTATGCTTGGGGTCGTTGTCCTGCTGGAATATGAAGCTTGACCCAAGCCCCAACTTACTGGCACTTTTTTTTCAAGTTATCATTTAAAATCCTCAAATATACATGTTTGTCCATAATACCATCAATAAAAGCAAGCTCTCCAACTCCTCCAGCCGGCATACAACCCCAAACGAGGACAGATTCACCTCCGAACTTGACTGTCTTAATGGTGTTTTTAGGTGCCAGTGCTTTCCCAGCTTCTCTCCATATTTTAAATCGTCCATCGCTTCCGTAAAGATTAAACTTACTTTCATCAGAAAATATTATAGTGTTCCAGAAAGAAATAGGCTTTAAACGATGTTCTTTGGCGAAAATCACTCTCTTTTGTCTATTCACATACTTGATGAGTGCCTTTCGTATTGGTGTACGGCCATGAAACCCATATTGGTGAAGGGTACGTCGAATTGTTTCAACTGAGATCCTTTTCCCGATTGTAGAGGACATCGATAAAGCTAGTTTAGAGGCACTCCCCCTCGGATCTTTCTTTACTGAGTGAATGATCTTCCTCTTCGCCGTAGTACTTAGTATTTCTTTACGTCCTCCTCCAGGAATATTGGCCACAGATCCATTTTTTTTAATACTTATGTAGTATTTTTTGAACACAACCATGAGTTACACCAATCAATGAAGCGATTTCTCGAAGAGATTTTCCCTCTTTCGACCATTTTACAACCAATAAACGCTCAGATTCAGTAGTTTCCCTACGAGAGCTCATTTTACGATTTTTAATGAAAAAAAAATACTATTTAAAAGTGTTGAAGTGCAATAGCACGTGTTATAAGCAGCAGCTACTCCTGAAACTCTTTAAAGAAAATTTGAAACTAAACAAAATGGTGGCATAATTTACAAATATAAGAAGTGTATACTCAATTTTGTGGCATGGTTTTCTATCTTTTCTTCGAATCGCTTAACTTTTTTCGTAATAAATAAATTAACTATAGAATTGTGTTATTATAGGATGGTAAAGCAGAGGTTAAAGTATCTAGGATAAAAAAATGTATCTATTTAAATCAATATTTAATTTGTAATTGGAAGAAGTCTAAAAGTTTTAGAGGTGTATACTCAATTTTGTGGCTCACTGTATGTCAATGGACAGTGCGAGCAACCTAAAAAAGAAAAAAAAAATTGAAATTCCATAAGCCCCGGGAATTTTAAATTGAAAATGGATCTTACTTTTTGGACACAATAGTATATTTAATAAAAGTGTATTGTCAGGTGGGTTAATTGTAAAAAAGGGGGAATAGCTGTAAAGAAGCATCATCTGTAATGCAAGTTCTAATTTGGAAAACTGAAAAGTCTATAAGAACTAAACCTTGGTAACATTGGGAATACACTGTTAGTAATATCGCGCTTTTTAATGCAACAGCTGGTGATGATCTAATTTTTTGGAAAACAACTTGTATAAACTTTGGGTTAAAGTTGTTTTTCCTCATTTATTTCTATAATTTCTGGAAGACAAGAAAAAGCTAAGTTGGAAGACAAGAAAAGTTATTCATTACTGAGTGATTTCTTTAATAGAATACCTATATCTGATTTTTAGTGGGATGGTTACAATTACCCCCTAATATTTATGAGAGTGGGGTAATTATAAACATAATTTATCTTCTGATTTTATTCTATTCTAGTATGAGCAGGGCTACAAAATGCCCCATATGTACGTGAGAAATAAGCTGTGATACTCCTACAACATACGTGGCCTGATGGCCAATTGGTTAGAGCTCTGGCCGTTGGTACCATAGGCTTCAGGTTCGAAACTTGGCAGTGGCATGGATGTTTGTTAGCGATTCGGAATCCACGTTAAACTGTAGGTCTCGGTCTAATTAGCCTAAAGTGTGCTTAAAATGACTGTATAGTGACAAATCAAACCCTAGAACCTGGTAGATCACCGAAGTTAAGCATCATTGGGCGCGGTCAGTACTTGGGTGGGTGACCACCCGTTGGCAAATTTGGGATCTGAATGGCCGAGTGTCTAGCGCTCTGGCGCTCGGTGCCACAGGTTTCGGGTTCGAATCCCGGCAGTGCCATGGATGTTTGTAGTGGTTCGGAATCCACTTTAAGCCGTAGGTCCCGGTCTTCTATGACTGTAAGAGCGTCACGGAGCAAAAGTCAGGCTTCTGCCTACGGGTGCTCCATCACAACAGAAGCTGCTTCCTTCCCCTTCAATCATGAGTCTATATGGGCTTGTGGGCTTGGCCAGCCAAGTGGGATAAGAAACAACAACAACAGAACCTGGTAGTAAATAGGAATAATGGTTGTATTAAATAGGAATAAAGTATACAGAGAACTTGAAGTGGCTTATATTTGCTTATACCGTAAGCCACTTCAGGTTCTCTGTGTACTTTATTCATATATATCGTAGAATTAAAGGGAAAAAATGCAGTATAAGTGGAATGGTATTGGTCGGCCTACTGAATTGCCTAAGGATGTAAGTATATTCTAGTAAATTGCTTTATTTCAAGATCACTAATGGGGTAACTTTGTGATAAGCAAGCAATAAAAATACTCATTTAAGAATTCACTGGAGGCAATAAACTCCAAACTACGTTACAAAACGGCCTAAGAGGGCATGACAAGTACCAAGGGTTTATGAAACGACATCAATCAATTTCTATAAAAAAATCCAAAGCGTTACAGAAAACACGAAAATATGATTGAGATACAATTGTCGTTATGGATTTTATGACACAATAAAAAGGCTATACTCGGAACACTCAGATGATAAAGATTGTGTATGCTTGGTGTACAAATTAGATGAAACCTGCTTTGACAATGATTCGCCTAGATTAAAGCCATCGGGCAAAAATGAGATGTTGTTTATAATTGCCCCTTCATTACAGAGATAATTATACAAGAAATAATCATACAAATACGAGTTTATTTATTCATAATGAAATGATAACAAAGTTGGTAAACTTTCACTGTGTAAGTGAACTAGCAATTTAGTGACAATTTTTTTCACCTATTGTTTGCTTAAAAAAGGGTAAGAATGTGAAACTTTTAAAATTTGTTTTCATTTACCACGTCTGATCCTAAATCTGTTCATAAAAATGGAGAGAATATATGACTAACTAACTTACCACCACTACAGTCCCTGTTGGATCATGGCCGTCTGCCTACTGGCAGATTCCGAAATATGAGATGTTTTCTTTTTACGGGTTAGGGTTGTCAGACCCATGTCCTACAGTCAATTAGATAGGTACCTACTGTTTAAAGAGGACTCCGATTCACTGAAATCATCCATGACACCGCCGGGACTCGAATCCTGTGGATATCGTGTGCCAGAGCGTAGTCACTCGGCCATCAAGCCCCTATAGAATATATGATAAACTGAAAAAAATTTATAGAATATACTTATTTTAAAATTAAGTAAAGTGTAACATTAAATACTAGTACACCAGTTTTAATATAACTTAGTGTAATGAATCTAGAATTGGAATAGAATAAAATTAAGTGCGCTTCATTTTTTTTCTAAGTTTTAATAAATATTTCTTTTTTTTTTAATATAATTTATTTTTAATAATATAATAATTTCTGAGTAGCATTTCATAAAGAAAGACGCAAAAAGGAAAATCAGTGTTTGCTTAAAAGCTGCGTTGCTTTTAGTACTAAGTATTAGCAACCGAGGTTTAGCAAATATCTTCAGGATGAAAAGAGGATTAAATTTAATGTGTTCATGGCTTCGAAATAATTGCTCAGGGAACAGTTAATTGTTTAGCTATTTTAATTGCACCAAGATACTCGAATAGTATTCATGAAAAACATTGAAAAATAAAATGAACCCACTGGAAAGTAAATTGAAAAGATGTTGTAATTCCTGGATCTGCTTCTTTCTTACTTTGCATGTAAAATATTAGTCTCTACTAGAAGAATTAAGCTTGCAATTTTGGAAATATCGCTATCATATTATCGCAAAATGATTAGCAATTCAATTTTTTGTATGTTGTCATCCCAATCAACAAAGTTAAATGCCTGTTTCATCTTTTGAGATCATATGCCACTATTGTTGACTTTTTTAGCATTGTAAGCTTTGCCCAGATTCATTGAAAAGCCATTGGTCTACGTTATCTTTATTAAAAAATATGGAAAGTTTTTGTTTAATTTTTTGTCATGCGGAGAGACAACTTTAAATAATTAGGATCAGAAATTAATTGTCGTATTAATATCGTACCTGAAATAAAAAACAGAATTGTGTCTGCAAATAAGGCACTTTATGGGTTAAGAAATCTGTTTACGTTACAATTCATATGCGGAAAAACTAAATTCTTGTTATATAAAATCCTTATTAGATCTATTTTGGTCTATGACTCTGAAGCATAGACTTTGGCAAGATCTGATGAGGCCCATTTGGATATATTTGAGCCGAAGATTTTAAGGGCTATTCTTGGAAGTGTTATGGAAAGTAATTGTTGGGACAGACTGTACAACGCAGAAATTTATAAATGCTATAAAGACACAGATATTATAAAATCTATTAAGATCAATAGATAAAACTGGTCTGCTCGTATATTTAGAATAAATGATTTTAAATCATTCATTCTAAAATTCCTTGATTTTAAATATTTCACAATCATTCATTGATTTTAAATCATTCATAAAAGGCTCATAAAAAGGCTCGTTTTGGCAAAGCTACAGGGACAAAGAGGAAGAGGATGACCCAAGTTGCAATAGATAGACGCAGTTGAAAAAGATTTTTCTGTACTAAAGGTTAAGAATTGGAGGACCCTTGTCACCCAGAGGAATGCATTGAAATCACTTCAGAGAAAAGTCTTGGCCCACCCTGTGCTGTCATGCTATTGGTGATGATGGAGAGGCAACTGCTGTCGGTATTCAGTTCAAGAAACCAATTTATTTATTTTCCTGTCTCCTTAAGAGTAATAGAATCATATAAACGCTTCTCGTGAATAAAATTCCAGAAAACTATTTCGGCACAGCAATCATTTTGACATGTCAAAATGCGTATTGATGTATCATTTTAAGTTATTATTGCCCTAAACTGAAATCAAGCTAATAACATTCTCCATGAAAGCATCTACATTCTAAATGACGCCATGGCACAATTATTTGGAGTTATTTATTTCAAGAAAAATTCAAATTTAATTATAAGGTTATGCATATCATTCTATTGCTTGTGTCTAAACAGACTAATGCATGGTAAGCGAAAATAATGCGGGAAATGGATTTAACTTGACATTAAATTTGAAACTTTGGAGATTGCATAACCGAAGATGATGAAATGTTTTCTGACATCAACAAATGCAAAAACACCTCATAAGACACATCAAATGAAATAAATTACTTGATGCTAAATTACTAAAAAATTCCTTTTAAGGTTAAGATATTAAAATAGTTTCGTAAAGCATAAAGAAAGAAGAAATAAGTCATTTGATGAAAATAAATTACTTTTTCGTTTTTAAACCAAATTCTTTTAATGCATAAGAAAGTGGCATTCAAACAATAATCATAAAAACTTAATTCAAAACCTAATATAAATTTCTTTTGGAGTTATGTGTTTTTTAATAATTTTTTAATCCCTTTTTAAAATTGAGGAAATTTGTAATGAGACAATACGGTCAAACCTGTTTTTGTGTGGGACATAATGACTGGATAAAAGAAAAAGCATAAAAAAATAATTTGAAATTTCATAAGCAGCTCTAAAATAAATTGTTTGCAACACATTAAAAAAAATTTTTTATGCGGTAAATAGGGCCGGCATAAAAAAAGTCCCACATAGTAAATTTGTAAATCCAAACTTCACGATGTAAGTCTACCTCGTATTTAATAACATTCGTGGTAATAGGATGATATATAATATCAGGTGGGGCATCTGTTATTTTGACAGCCATTTGTGGTTCTTTTTAATTACATTTTTGAATTAATTTTTATTCATAATATGCATTTGATGGAATTTTTTTATATACCGCACAAAAAGGATCATATAAAAAAGATTTGACTGTACATATTCGATATAATTTAATATGAAATTTTATTTCTAGTGCTTCTATTCCTTATTATTTATCAGTAAAAATATATTGTGTCAAAATATTACTAATAGGTACAGAAAAAACAAATTCAACTATTTTCTTTAAATGTTATTGTTTAATTTTCTTATAGATTTTTAAAATTTACTTCTATTTTGTACAAAATTTTGTTTTAAAATTAATTCACTCGTTGGTATTTATTTATTTACAATTTATTTAAATGTGTCGCTTAACGCATTCTAACTGCTTATGAAGCTCAACTAACCATTAAAAAAATGTTTACCATAAAAGAAATTAAAACTTTGATTGCATGATTTAAAAGATTTACAACGCACGCACATTCATCTGTTCATCGCAACTTTACATGCTTATACCTTTTTCCTAGTTCTTTAAGTAAATAATTGTTCTTGTTCTTCTTCTTGTAGTTCTTGTTCACTTGTAAGAATAATTTTTCCAAATTGGACGAAATTGTTGAGGGGGTTCAACAGATTCTAATGCAGGACAATTTTCAAAATGGGGAACATCTGACCGTTCTATATTGGAACTATGCACAAAATAGAATGCTGTGCTGGATGGAAGGATTCTCTCCTACCTTGTCCTCTCATATTTAAGTTAATTAAAGACAATCAAACATTTTCTATTATATTCTTTAATGGGAATATTTTAAACCTTTTATATAGCAATTTGTATTCTTATGGAGTTTTTTTTTTATATGTAAGTATGTAGAACTTCACTATGTATCTGATCTCACTGTCGTATAATTATAAAGCATTGACATGATTGGTAATTCGACAGCAAAATCGAGTTAAGAATAAAACAACTACTTTAAAACAATATCAATTTCAAAGTTAATTGTAAATTGTAACTGTCAAAAGAGAAAGCCATTATTTATATAGATATATATTTTTAATATCCTAAGGTATCTAAAAAAACTATTGATCGCAATAATTAAGTCTTTA